GGTGGCTTTTCGCTGAGCTGGCCACCTGCTGGCGCTGGTCACGCTGTCCGGCCCTGGATGCATTGTTCCTGCAAGGAACTGCTGTGCCGTCCCACATGCTCCTGACATGATATCCAAAAAGCACCTTTGCTGCTGGATTGCCCGCCGAGAGACTTGCCCCTGCCTTGCCCGTGTAAATATGTTGGTTCCCTGGGGAGCGTGGACAAGAAGTCTAGCTTTTAATGTGAATATGGGGGGCAGTTTTCATGCTGCGTACAAGAAAAAAAGATATAAAAGACTACTGTTATAGGTCTTCCTCAGCTTAATGCTGACAAATGATCTGCCTCTGAACAGCACATAGGGTGCTAGTGCCCAGTGCACCTGAGCCAATCCCCTTGCTGTCCTAGGCTGGCTGCTGGGATCCGAGGTTTCCCTCTACTGCTGCTGATTTCTGCCTTGGGAGCATGAATGTTCAGAATGGCACAGAGTGAAATCACATGTGGACCCGGTGGCGTAAGAAAATGCATATTTACTTCCCAAAATGAGGGAGACAGGTTCTGTATTATTTAGTAAGGGTGCTGGCCTGTCCTAAGATAGGACTTCATTGTGTCTGTTCTATTGCTATGCATTGTGATGAGTCTTCGTGATGGGGAAGGAAATATTTTTAAGGACAATTCTAAATTGGTAAATTGAATACATTTGTTCTTTACCTGCCAAGAAGGCAAGAAAAGGAGAATATTATTTTCTTGTGGTTACCTGAAAGGTACTAGGTGAGAAAAAAAGTATCACTGAACTGGATAATAGTGTGCAACAGCAATACCACTTTGGATACGATCTTTGGGAAGAGAACAGGATTATCTCACAAGTGATTTTTCTACTAGAAATTATAGATACTGCAGCTTCTTCAAACTCTGACACAACGCAGTTTTTGTATGGGAGTTTTTTTGTAGCCGGCTTCCTACAAAAGCTCCCAGGCAGAAGCTCTTCTGCTCTAGTCCTGCGGCAGTGAAGAAGCAACAGTCTGAACTTCTGGAGAAAAATCATGGATCCTTTCATTAGCAACTTAATTTGAGACATTTATATCTATTCTTCCAGCTCTCTTCAGTTTAAGAGTGAGGCCTCTTCTTCCCTTAAGGCAATGAGAGCATTTCTAAATAATGCCTCTGAAGTTTTGCACCTCTTTCCCAAGCTGCCTCACTCACCTTCACCAAGCCTTCCCCTATCAGCAGTCCTAGCTTCCTTCAGCAGAAACATTCTGGTGTTTACCACAGCTTTCCTCAAGTAGTTAAATTTAAAAGGAAAGAACTTGGAGCGTAATGGAATTTTATCCTTGGTTTTAATGAGACCAAGATTTCTCCAAGTTTTGAGGGCCAGATTCTCCTCTGGTTTATGCTGCTACATGAGAAGTACAGCCATATAAAAACAGGCTGTAATTCTGAGACTGTACTGGAAAGTTCCATGTGCCATGAAGACAAATTATATAACAAATATATGTTCTTTACAGGATATATTAAATCATTAGTCTTTAAAGTTTGCATAACTTCCTATCCTTCTAATGGAAGCATAATAGTGAAAAAATGGTGCTTAATCCAATAATAAATTTGTCTTTTAAGATCATAAGAAATAATTTGTAGATTTTCCCCCTTTTAAGTGGTAGAGCAAATCAGCTCTCTGTTGAAGTGACTTGGACAGATCTTTGAGTCACAACATATTAAATATACAGCGTAGGAAGTACGTAAACACTCTCCAAGCGTGGGTAGAAACGCTGGTATCCCTCAAGAATTATTTTGCTTCATTCATGCAATTACGGATGCTGGGGGAATGCTGATTTAGATGCAAGGCCCTTGGCATAAAGCACTGGGCATTAAATGCATGAGCGTTTCTCCAGAGCAGCTTAGCCGAAGTTTATCATGCCCATTCAGCGATTGCCTAGCAACTCCGAGGCCGTCAAAGAGCTCTTTGTCCCTGGCTCTGGCAAAAACACTTCCTCACCATCCCCTTATCAGTATCAAAATCAACACGCAAACTTTCCAAAAGCAGTTTTATCACATAAGAAATTAGTGCTGTCTTAAAATGGTGGCAATGATATGGCAGTGCGCCATTGGTGACATTATGGTAAAGCCAAGTCAAATCTTCCCTTCCAGGTTTCTGTAAAAAGATATATATGTATATACATAAAAAATATATTTTTATGATTTCTGACTATTTTATAAAAGCATAGCTTTCCCTGCTGAAATTTCATATAAAGCATCTGACTTTACATCATACTTATGTATCTGGCATACATATTTATTTTTTTACAGCTATAAAATGTGAGTTTTCTCTTTATAAGTGATTTTGGGCTTATCTAAATAAAAGTGGGTAAACAAAATTTAGAACTATTTGTATAAAGATACTCAGTGCCACTGAACCAATCTTGTCTTCCAGCTTTATTGCAGTTGTTCTTTGTCACACTCATGCACACAGGTTCAAACTGGTAGTGATCAATAGCAGATTTAATAAAAAACGTCCTACAGTGAAAATGATGTAATATTCAGCACAGCTTGAGTACATTAGATTGTCATAATTATGCAGTGGTATTTAGGATGCACTTTCTTTTCTGTAAATGGGGAAATACCATTCTTCACCTGACTACCTCATGAGGTGTGGAAGTAAAGAAAAGATTATCTCTTTTTTTTTTTTTTTCATTTTCCTCTATGGAGAATTTTCCCTGATGGTTACCAGAGGGGCTTGCTCCTTTTTTTTTTGGCGGGGGGGGAAGAGTTTAATGGTGTGATTGGCTCTTTCAAGCATCGTGGTCCTAAGTTGCATGGGGCTCGTTGTCTTTTCTATGCCAGTGCACCCAGTATCACCCTTTGACACGGCACTGTCATAAAGCATCCTCTGTGCACAGATCAAGACGATATAATTGAGCCTGGTGTTATTGTATGTCACTGCTCTACATAATCTCAGATAATGCACTATGGTAACTCTTGGCAACTGCTGACTTGTTAATAGTGACCATTGTGTATCAAGCGCCACAGAAACCCATTAAAACCCGGCAAAGAATGCCTTTTCTCTAGCAGGGTTCACTGAGTGACACTGGGTATGATATGACAAATAATGCTCAGGCGAATGGAGTGTCAGGTTTAGTTCTGACATCCCTTGAATGTGTGAGCTTGTTTTCTTCAACGATTTAAAAACACAAGTTTCCAAACTTGGGAACCTCAAGCAGAGCAATTTTAAGCATCTGAAATAAGTTTTAAAAAATGCAATGAGCTCATCTTGTTCATGTGCTTCACCAGCATCTCTCAGACCACCATTTATTTATTTATTTATTTATGCACAAATAGGGACTTACTTAAATACCTACGATTCTCAGTTTTTGGCAATAAATTAATTTCAGGTCAATATTAACCAAATAATCAATGTCCCCCCAGGGCTGCTGGTTGACCTATGTATTGTCGTCTGCCACTCAATATGTGGCTTCTGAAAACCAAATGTTTTCTCTGTCACTAGGATTATTTGGTGCAGTCTGTTGAATCAAATATTTGTTCAGTGATTCAAGCTGTTGATTGTCTTGCAAAGAAACACACAATTTTGAGTCCAGAATTTCACCTTTTCTCTAATTAAAGACTTGATCTTGGCTATAGACTGCTTTATAAGGCCCTGAAGGCTGGGGAATTATCTCTGAGTGGGCTCTATGAATAAATGGGGTGATTTATTTTTCAGTGTTGCGTACGAACACTGAGTTTTGCTCTTCAAAGCTGAAAGTTTTTTTTTTCTTGTCACATGTGAAACTGTTGCTTTTTTAAGACTCTGGCAGCCAGTGAACCTGTGGCATATTTTGCTGGAAATACTTACAAAACAAGAAATACTTGTGGTTGGATTCAGTCCACCTTTCACTTAGTGAAGTTCTTCATTCAGTAGAGGCACCACGATAATGCTTAATTTTTAATGCAAAGTAGTGTAGACACAATACAGTCTGAGAGCTGCAGTGGTGCCTGCTGGCACTGAACATGCACCGGACTTTTAAAGATGTGGCTATTGGAAAAAAAGCAAACAAGAAGGGTATGTTTACTGCTGCTGTCTTGCAAAGAAAAAAAAGATAAAACAGTCCACAATTGCATGTTTCCAATCCACTGTTTGCATTATGATTGATGTATAGGGGTTGAGGTCATGGAAAAAAAAACATCGCTAACGCCGTGGCGGCTCAGCCTTTTGGAATGCTCACATGGCGGGTCTGAAGCCTTTTGTGCCTTCCACATTTTTCCATTTGGTATGAGGCTTAGCGGTAATCAGCTCACTGCTAATTAGAAGTCATTCTGCGTTCTGCTCCCCATTATTACGTTAAATTATCTCAGACCTCAAGAATTCTTACATTCAAAAAGAAAAGTTTCTGCAGTACCTTTTGTCATGTATTTCCCACACAGCAAAGTTGAGAATACGCTTTTGCTGTTTCGAAGCAGCCTCTGTGGAGGAAGCGAAAGCCATTCTTTTGCTGTGTTTGAATTACTTTCTGCTTTTCATTTCTGTTTTTAGTTGTTAAATAGCGTATGTCAATAGTGAAAGTGAGATGAATAAAAGGAGATATATATTTATGCATATATATATATAAGTCTTGGAAAATGATGGAGATATTTGTAATAGAGAGTTTTGCATTCATCTTTGTAGATCTTAAAGCATCCGCAGGCAAGAAGCCTGGAGGTAGCATCCCATGGAGCTCTTATTTTTCAAGTGAATTGGCTACAGAAATACTTTCCTGTTGCAGAGCTTAGGATCAGTCCTTATGCACCTCTCCTCAAAACAGGAATCTAAAAAATCCACTGTTTGGGGATGCAGGGAAGGCAGGAGCAGAGATACAGGTTTAGCTTATTTTATTCTCCTGCTGTTAGTGGCGTATTAATAAATAGTTTTTGTTAGCAGAGTTTTAAGTGTCAGTCCTTGTACAAAGCAAAAGTTTAAACTAATTGTACGAGTTGTGACTGGCTAAGAGCTCTCAATGTACCAGTGATGACCATTCTCCCTCTCTGCATTTGCAGGTATACACTGCGACAGTGTGTGTGCGGAGGGACAGTGGGGCCCTAACTGCTCCTTGTCTTGTTACTGCAAAAACGGAGCCTCGTGCTCTCCCGATGATGGCATCTGCGAGTGCGCGCCGGGCTACAGAGGCACCACGTGTCAGAGAAGTAAGCACGGAATAAATGCCTTGAAATCTCTCATTTCTTTCTCTCCTGCTTGGAATGTGTTTGATATAATTCTGTACTGCTGTGTAAACTGGTGAAACAGTCCTCTTTTGGACATTTTAATTGACAGAAGGTTTGAGTGTAGATAAACGGATGCTACTTAAGTTAACAGTATTTTCAACTGTCTTCCTCTAGCTGCTGTATAACCTTAGTTTTATATACTATTTGTGCAGTGACTCTGTTGTGCATATGACTTTATAAGAAACAAATACGGTAGGGGAGTCCATTCTAAGGCTAACATTTCCAAAAGTGGTTAACCAACACTGATTTTTTTTAAGGCATATTCTGGTAGCTAAATAATGTGTGCCTGAGTTTCAAAAGTTAAAATCCTTCGCTTCCCCTTGAGTTTGGAAGCCATCATTAGCTTTATTATTGCTTTTATTTAACATTTCTTCTGAAACAGCGAAGAATGGCCAATCGGATCAGGCCTCCCTGCAAGTAAAAGGCATCATAGGTACACATACTTTTGTTTTAAAAATTCTTCTCTGTAAAGTGTAACATTAGCAGGAGAAGAGTCATGAACTGAGGCAAATTGTGTCAGAAGCAGCGAGGCAAAAATAAGATGATGTGCAAAATGTCCACCCATCCAAGGGGATTTGTCACAGCTTGCCTGGTTGTCCTTGGTTCACACTGGGAGAGGGAAAGGTGGTCAGAACAGAGCAATGCCGACTTCTTCACACTGGGAGACTGGCCTTGTTTTCAGAGATCTCGCAGAAACAGAATCAAGAAGCAGGTGGAATAGGCCAAGCAGAGAGGCTACAGGAGGCTACTGCCCTCCAAAAGAGGCAGGAAGAAAGAAGGACCCAGCAAAGGGTTGCCGAGAAGATGAAGGAGAACCAGAGGAAGCCAGGCACAGCAGCGTTTCGGGGTGAAGAGTGTGGTTGCCTTTGGTACTGCTAAATACATTACTGTAGCATTAGTTTCACTTAAGCATTTCTAAGTACAGTAATTATTCTCACTACCTAATCTCAGAAGGCTTTACAGTTAATCAGTTAATCCAAAGGTAGACTAAATGTAAAGCATCCTTGTGCCTTGGAACTAATGTGTGTGACGAACACAAGTGGCTTCCCCTCCGATGTCTCTCAGAGCCAGTCTCTCATGCATGGTCCTGAGGCCAGGAGGTCATGCAAATAATTTGGATCCCAATCAGAAAATGCCTTTCCAGTAAACAGGAAGATCTTAAGGCACTGTTTCATTTGGGTAAGGTAAGATATCGAGGGAGATCTGACAGCATATAACTGAAAAGCTGAAACTTACATGAAATTTAAAATATTAAAAAGATAACAAGTTAGTTTTTCTAAGTGCTAATAGCTGCTTTGCTTTGCAACAGATATTTCACTTGAAGCATTGCCTAATATGCCAATTTATCAGGAAAAAATAAAGAGTGCCCAGAGGGATTAGAGAAACAAAGAGATTTCATGCAACAACCTTTTTTACTTTTTTTCTTCTCCTGTCTATTTGCCTGATTGTGGTGTTCTGCATAAAAGGGACTAGTGCCTTTGGCACAGTCATTAAGTGGAGGACTATTTTTCTGATCTCAAGTTCTGAAAAAATAGGGAGGTGATGTGTAATTAACTGTCTCATGTAATAAGTACAGTGAATACTTAGCTGAAAGGATGGCTTGAAAACATTAATACATCATTTTTCAGTGAAGTAATGGCTAAAATGGTCTAGATTTTTATTCTGAGTTACAAGAGACATTACAAAGCTGAAGTCTACGGTAACTCTACTCAGCAACAGATAAAATTATCACTGTGTTTTTTTCAAGTAATTTTCTTCAAATATGAGATCTTTTAAAAGATGTTTATGAGGTAGAAGATGTGCAGTATATAAGCAAATAAGTATAGTATGTAAATAGGTAGAGTGTCTATATATTTCAAAAATAAAACAAGTACAATGTTTCTGTGTTCCTTGTTTTAAGTAACACTGTATTTGGCTTGATGAATAATAGAATGTGAACTAACCAGTTACTAAATAGAGTATAGATAACCCTCAAGGAAGAGATACAAATCTACTTTATACATGTTTAAAGTATTCTATGTTTATTGGAACTTTATGACTAGTCACCACCACATTATGGTCCTTGTGCATATAGGAAGTAGAGCTAATCAAAGTTAACAGTGAATCCACTAAATAGTAGTTCATGACTGTATAGACTGTGCAAGCGATGGTGACAGTTTGTTCTTTCCACTTCCAGTTTGTTCCCCTGGGTTTTATGGACACCGTTGCAGCCAGACATGCCCCCAGTGCGTGCACAGCAGTGGTCCCTGCCATCACATTACTGGATTATGTGACTGCTTACCTGGATTTACAGGAGCCCTTTGTAATGAAGGTACAAGCTCTAATTAATACTCCTCTAATTACTGTGATGCTTGGTAGACACCAATAATTTTCATTTTATCTATTGTAAGCCTATAAGACCAAAAATATTTATGTTTCTTTTTTCTTAAAATAAAGAAAACATGATCCATGTGCTAAAAAAATAAAATCTAATACTGCTATCCTGTTCTCAGTGTGTCCCAGTGGCAGATTTGGCAAGAACTGCATTGGAATCTGCACATGCACCAACAACGGCACATGTAATCCTATCGACCGGTCTTGTCAGTGCTACCCTGGCTGGATTGGCAGTGACTGCTCCCAGCGTAAGTGTCAACACATTTTTTCCATTGTTTTTCAATAGCTGAACCCTGACTAATTGTTTTCTCTGTGTATTAGTGAAAAAATACTTTCTAAGTGAGAAGTGGTGATTTAATTGTGTATAATGAAGAGAGATTCACCTTTTTTTGTGTGTTTCATTTGCACTATTACACACTCATTTACATGTGAATTTTCTAAGAAGGTTAGGGGTCTGAAGCATAGGACTCTCAAAAGGGGACTAAGAGGGGATCTATTTGCAGTCTTCCCGTAGCCAAAGAAGAATTACGACAAGATGGATCCAGACATTTCTCAGAATTGCACAGTGAAAGGCCAAGAGATGATGCTCACAGGTTGCAACAAGGGCAACTCTAATTAGACAAAAGAAAAAAATAGCTTTATTCTGAGAGTGGTCAAGCACTGGAACAGGCCACTTAGAGAGGTTGAAATCTCTGTCCTTGGAGAAACTGAAGAATCTTCATCCTTTGGACAGGACACTAGACTGGTTGCTGGACTAGATGACACCAGAAGTCACTTCCCATGATGCTGTCAGTCTTTCTTTGCATACTGGCTTGAGACTAGTTGCTAGTCCCATAACAACAATGTTATGAACATGGCATGGCTTGTATTCACAAGTATGACAGAGCTTATGAATGACAGACATATTTTACAAATGACTTCCTGAGGCACTGAAATATTGGGTTGTTTTCACTGCAGTCACATACCACACAGAGCCAGGATTTTCTAAGACCCAAGGTGCAGGACTGTATTTTTTCTTGTTAAACATTTGAGGGTTTTTGTTAAGAATTCATTGCATTATGACATTTTATCATTACTTACCACTTTTTAGAAGATTTTCTCCTTCCTTTTAAAATAATTTTCAGAGATGCACATTTTTAGTGTCATTGTAATCCACTTGATTTACATACGGTCTTGCTATGCTAAAACATGTGAAGTCTGTTCCTGATTTGAAAAGGTGAAGAGCTTAGCCCTAATTTTCTTCTGTTTCACAGAGTTATTTTATTAAATGATCAGGTGTTCTCCTGATACATTGCTAGATCAATCCAAATTAATCACAACATGAAATAAACACCTGAAAAAATTCTCAAAGGAAGCATAACCAATTTTATAAAGTACTAAAATGCTCAGAGTCCTGCAGCGTGTGCAAAAACTTTAGTCAACCTGTTTTTATGAATAAATGTGGCTATAGGAGACCCTAGTACAATGTCTTTTGAATTTTGATCCATCAGTGTGTCAGGGTTTCCATGGAGGTGCATTTCCTAATAACATGCCTCATTGGTTTCTGTTATTCATTGTTTGGCTGGACTGGGTTAACTGGCTCTGTAGCAGAGCAATGTAACATCTGATCAATTTAGAAAAGAAAACCTTCTTGGCTGGCTAAATTTTAAGAAGTGATCAGCATCCACAACTCTGTATGAGATCAAAATAAACTTGGGGTCTGTGCCCGTGGAAGCCAGTAGCAATGTAGGTGCTGGGTCCGTACTTTTATGGTGAAATTAGGTTGTTGGAAGAGTATAGGAGTATTTGGGAAGAGGAGGGATTTAACCACTGAATCAATACAAGAAAATGGTGCCAGAAGCATGAATGGAGGGTTCTTCTGGAGCTGTGTTCATGGACCATAGGAGAGGACGTTTGTCTGCTTTATATAACAGGCTTTTGATCCCACGGGAAATAATGATTCCATTAATTTGTTTTGACTGACCTTTTTAAAACACCTAACTTGTGACTTTCTTGACTAACCACTAATATCATACAACAAATAACAGTAATAAAAATATTTGTAAATCACAATGGGAATTGAAACAACAATAAACTTATTAAAAATGTCAATATTAATGTCAATTAAAAATGTCAATTAAAAATGTCAATATTAAATTTGTCAATAAAATGCAATATTCTTCTTGATGGAGTGAATTTTAGGCAAGAATAACATTTCGCAAAAGTGCAGATCACACATATATGAATCATTTTGCTTATGCAAACATTTAAAGGATCAAAAACTTTCTCTTGTTCCCCAGACAGGTCCCTGGACAACCAGGCTGCAGTTTTGAGGAGATACCAGTCTTTTGATATTAATACAGAAGTAAAGATCAGACTTTATCACCTAGCCTCTTTCTCCTCTCCAATAAAATACTTTCTTTGTGCTTAAAAAAATAGTTTTTTCAGTACACAAGTGTGTACTAAAGAAACAAAAAAACTTAATATGTAACTCCTAAATTTTCAAATAAAGGAACTATTCTTCGAGTACTGTATACACTTAAGGATATTCTGACATAGAATTTTCTGTTGCTGTCTCTGAATAATAATTGCCATTTGGGGATTTGCTTCACTATTTGAGAGTTAGCATTCAGTGTCAGATTTGTTCACCATGACATTTTCAAACTAATCACTAAAATTGTACCTTATAACATTTTTGGATGCGATTATGAGTGGAAAAAAAACCATCTCCTTCTGCATTTATGATTGGTTGCTTCTTAGAAATACATTGATTGGCAGACCTATGGAAACAAAAGAGTAAATCAGAAGCCTTATTAGGTCAAGAAGCTGCCTTAATCAAGTTATATGTGCCACACTTGGGCAATAATACAGACTCTAACAGTGAAAACACAGTGTCAAGCTAGAAGATAAGTATCAGCCTTCTCTGTCTGTTCTGCTTCACATCTGAAGCTTAAAATGCTTAAGCCCTTGGTGGTGTGCTGTCAAATGGACTTCAAATTAAAAATTGTTTCTCCCTCATCTGATCTGGGAGAAAGCTGGTATAAGATAAGGGTGTCCTAGTTACCTCCTATCAAACATGTGCAATGGGTTTATTTCAGATGTTAAATCTTTTTCAGAACTATTTATCTGTAGTAAAATGACTCATTAGGTGTGTTTTGTTAATGAGCAGTAAGGGTCCTTGCCATTTGAGATTAAGTAGTTGATTTCTTATTTCAGCTTGCCCACCTTCTCACTGGGGACCCAACTGCATCCACACGTGCAACTGTCACAACGGAGCTTACTGCAGTGCCTACGATGGGGAGTGCAAGTGTACCCCCGGGTGGACTGGCCTTTACTGTACTCAACGTAAGTGATCCTTGTCCTCCACTCATGCTCGTCTGCAAGTCAGTGGCAGAATTTTCCTTTGGTATTTTAACTACTTTATTGACTGATTTCTTGCCCCTTTCACACTGAGGCGGGTACTGTGTTGCCTCTGTGGTCCCTGGGGCGCTACCCCTGTAAGCAGCCAAGCTTCGGCCGTACGTGTTCAGGCTCCTCGCTGGCCTTCCTGCAGAGGAAGGCAGCTTTTGTCCGGGTGTTGGCAGGTGTCACCACTACGTGTGTGCGGTTGTAGCCCCAGGTACAGCACAGACACCAGCGTGCTGCTGTGGTGCAGTTCCTTCCCTCTCTGAAATACTCCAGCACTGGGATGCAGTAACCAAGTTTATAACGTCACGACACACAGCTCACTGAGGCTGTGAGAATAACTTGCGCCTAAGCTGGGGTTGTGATCTCCTGTGGCAAAATCCCTGCCAGTGCTGCAAAGTGATCTTATTGTCCAACCCTTATCTATAATTGTTACATCCCAGAAACGACTGCAGCAACAGCTCTCGGTCAACACATAGAATTCAAATACTGATATAGAAGCTACTTCATCTGCAATTTAGAAGCCAAACTTCCTGAGGATCTTATTTCATCATTTCTTTTGGAATTTGCTTTGTGTAATTAATGCATTAGATCATGGACATTTCTAAAACCTTTTCTTTATAATATGATCAACAGTGCAGTGACTGGAAATAGGTATATGACACCCCTTTTATGCTGGTATATTGCTGGTATGCAGTGACTGGGAATAGGTATATGGCATTCATTTTATGCTGGGTAACAGTTCATCCAAAGTTTCAGAGAGAAATATGTGTTAGAGATAGATATGGATAGAGAAAAAGTTGTTTTCTTATTATCTTTATCATAGTTATATTTATGGCAGCTATTTGGCTTATCTTCATCCCCACCGTTTGCAATCCAGGCACAAGTATTATCTTTGAACTCGAAAAATAGCTAACTGCTTTGCATTCACTGTTTAAATAAAGTTTTCACCAAGTTGCAACTCTCCTTTTTCAACTGAACGATGTCACAGTGGCAGGAAATAACACATATATTACAGGGCCATGTGGATGCAGCTCTGGAAGACATTCACTATAGTGGTTAGCTGTCAGCTATTGTGATTATTTTGCTTTCTGCTGGTGAATAATGATCTCTGTGCAGTGATACGTCTTCTTCATACTGAAATGGCATCTCTGTGAGGAATGGAGATACAATAAGATAATATTTTTACTCTTTATACTTCAGCATCAACTGCACTGAAAATATGTTCAAAGGTCTATTTATCACTAGACAGATTCCCTGTACTGGTTTGCAAAGTGCCCTCTTTCTACTCCTTTCAGATATTTCCATAAAATTTGTTTCTTCAAGCAGCCCTTCTTGGTGCCTTCATTTGCTGTCCCCATAAATTCCTGCTTATAGTTGTTTGGCTGATGTATACTTTAACCCCCTTAGAACAGGTCAGGCCTCGGTCTGTTGTGGTTGTAAAATGCCATGTTGTGTAGCGGGGCTACAGAAGTGACATTGCAGTAACGTAATGAGTAGTAATATTTGGGTATTGTTTCTAGAGCATTTTTTCACTCTGTTTTCCCTCCCGCTCCTTGCGCTGCAGGATGTCCCCTGGGGTTTTACGGGAAGGATTGTGCCTTGATCTGCCAGTGTCAGAACGGAGCTGACTGCGACCACATAACGGGGCAGTGCACCTGCCGCACGGGCTTCATGGGGAAACACTGCGAGCAGAGTAAGTACGAGCAGGAGCTGGTCGTGCTCCATAACAAACACTAAACCCTTGAGCCGAGCCTCTGCTGCTTTGGTCTGCGTTCTCGTACAGCCTCTTGGCTTGAGGGGGAATTTTGGCTGAGCAAGAGTTTCAGGAATTGGTCTGCATTTTTCCCCGAACATAAAAACCCAGAGAATTAATTATTGAGACAGATTATGATTGTGACAGCTGTTCTTTTTAAATGTAGCTATAAATTGAAAGACATTTGCACTACATTCTATCTTCTATGGGCATAATGCTGAAAAAGCTTAAGCAACCCAGACGTGCAAAAGTAACAAATGAATCCAAGTAATTGCCATTAGCATAAACCACAATGAACATTAATAGAAAACTGAAGATTAGATGTATCACATCAGTCCTAGTGGATAATATTTTTTGCGATGTGTTTTACAGTACAATTGGATTATAACAGGGCAGTAAATAGAATTTTTTTTTCTACATGGGTGATTCTTTTAACAGTTTTATACCAGTAAATCAAGAGTAACGCCACTGAAATCGATGATGGCATAATGTTGTAAAACACTATAAAAGGATCCTAGGCAGAGAATCCGGAGCGTCCTGCTTCTCTTAAGGTTACAGGCTGATACTCCCATGCTTCGTGCATTACATTGCACTGCAAAGCAATCTGTTCAACACAAGGCAAACGTGCTCCAGATAAATGTACTTAATTATGATTTTGGAGGCTTAAATGGGTCTTTGGTATGAGCAGTCTGCACGGGGCGAGTGGAGCTCAGTCCCCATCACCTACAGGCAGGGCTGATATAGCCGTGTCTGGTCCGAAGGGCTGCATAGTGATGGGGGCAGCAGGCACCACGTTTGGCAGCCCTGGAATAGAAGGAGCTGGGGGCCCTGCCATATACTAAACAGTATTACCATATACTAAACTTCTGTCCTGTAGGCGTGTTTTATTCCCTCTACAGTGAGTCTAGACCCAGTTGCAACACATACTGATTTTCTAAGACTAACAAGCATCTATGTTAGAAATTCTAAAAAAAAAAGAGTTTTTTCCCCTTAAAAATACAATTACAACAAAATTAGAACATTTTAGAGGAATATATTCATTTCAATTAAATAAAAGTTATTAACATGTTGCAGTTTCTTATTCCACTCATATTTCAAAATGTTTAACTTTCAAAGAGCAATAATATTTAGGTGAACTTTTTTGCAATATCTTTTTTGATGTTGTCAAATCTAAGTATTTATTTGACTATTTTGGCAAAGCTACATTCATTATTATATTTCACATGTTTGGTATTTTATCCTATGATCTGAGAAAGATTCAACTGTATTAAAATGTTCTGATATTTCTGAATTGGAATTTCAGCTTAAAAAGTCTTTTCATTCCAATTCAGGTTTCAAAATGCAAAAGTATGCCATGGAACAGTGTTCTTTGGCTAGTCATGCTAGCCATTCAGTAGTGCTAATCTTTTACTGAATGAAACTAAGAGAAGGATAAGCATGAAATTGCACTGTATTTCATTTTATCGAGGCTGCAAAAAAGTTTCTCTAGCAACTATTGTGTCGCATTATCTTGTAAATCATTCTAATGTAGGAAAACATAAAAGAGGAGTTAGATTGTTTCTTTTTAAAAAAAAAAGAAAAGCAATCAAATTACAAAACCACAAAGAGACTGAGAAGATTGAGTCTCAGGAGAAGAAACACTACACTTCTTCAACCCATCTGTAGTAGAGCAATGCAACATGCCACATGTTAACAGAGGTGGTGATACAAAGGAGTCGTTGTTATCAGTGTAGGATAATTCTCTGCTATACTAGTTGCACAGTGAAGCAGATGCTTTGATCAGTAATTGATTATTCTAATGCAAATCATTTTGGAAGAGACATGTTTCTGTAAAAACTCTTCAGTTAGGCTTATTTCTCATAAGTTTTTCATATTTTCCTCTGTAATAGTTTCTCCTTAAGGTATCAAAATATGTTAATGCATCATTTTCTTTTTTTTATAAATACATGGTGCATGTTAAACTCATTCTTCTGGTTCTTATCTCCTACTCTTACTACATTAGCACATCTGTCATATGCAATGACACTAGCTATGTATCTGGCACCACTTATATCATTACATGATGTTTAGAGCACTGGGTTTGAGTGACTTGGGAAACCTGACATCATGTTGTAAAACTACCCCTTTAGTCCAATTTTGTCTGTTTTTCCCAGTGTCTTCTCCCATGTTAATCTGCGCCTTTCTGATTCCATATTCACAACTTTGGGGGCACCAAGAATATGGATGATGGAAAATCAATTCTGAATATCATTGCCCCTTTTCCTCTTCATATGTGTGCATGCACACACACACACCCTGCCTTACTTTATGAAAATAGAGATTTACTAGTAATAACATAATGCCATCTGGTGGCCACTTACAAAAACATACCTAGGTTGACAAGGTCAAGTGCTGGCATATAAGATGCTATAGTTCTGTAATACCAAAACTTTTCAGAAACACTAACTTACATCTTCATCTTATTTTGTGCAGAATGCCCCCACGGTACCTATGGATATGGATGCCGGCAGTTATGTGACTGTCTGAACAACTCAACGTGTGACCACATCACGGGGACGTGTTACTGCAGCCCAGGCTGGAAGGGAGCCAGGTGTGATCAAGGTAAAAGCCTAGGCACAAAAAAATTACTGTGATTGGGTTCTCTAAAACAGCACCCATCTATTAGATGTCGTGTCTGTATCAATCATTAATTAAACCCAATAAGTTATGTGTGCTTAAGTAGTCTATTTTATCAAGTTATATGAGCTCTGTAGGTTTTTAAATATTAGATGCCTCGGTGATAGTTTATTGGAGTAACACTCAGGATTGCATGAAATCTTTTAGAGCGCAGTGCTATCTAAAGCTGTTGGTAGAGCATGTGCTTCATCTGATCTGTATTTTTTGCTTACGGAATGGTCTTACTTTTTTCAAATCCATGAAATACTTCTTTCTATAAAGAAGACAAATGCTCTTCCTTAAGGCCAGTGGTTTCTGACATGCTTCTATTTCTGCATTATTAAATACAGTTAGAACTAGCAGAAAGATTTAGAGGTGAAATACTATCCTGTGCTCCTGACACAGGAACCTTACATGTGTTTAATCTGTATATTTTATTTCTTTTTGTATTTCAGCTGGTGTGATTATAGTGGGAAACTTGAACAGTTTAAGCCGTACCAGCACTGCCATGCCTGCTGATTCTTACCAGATAGGGGCTATAGCAGGCATCATCATTCTTGTCCTCGTTGTGCTTTTCCTGCTAGTGCTGTTCATCATTTACAGACACAAACAGAAAGGGAAAGAAACGCACATGCCTGCAGTGACCTATACCCCTGCTATGAGGGTCATTAATGCAGATTACAACATTGCAGGTAAGCGCCAATCTGCGCAGGATTTTAGAGGGTTTCTTTTTCCTCCCCTTCCTGACTTCGTGCATGTGATGGAGATTCACATCCAGCCCTAAGTGTGCACACTGAACCTCTTTGCGTTAGCGAGAGCTGCTGTGAGCAGGAGCATATTTGATTCCAGAGAAAGCATCTGAAAGCCTCACTGGAAAGAGAGGCAGAGAAGACTTTCCTCCTGAAGAAGAGAGGAAGGCTGAGACACGTTCAGTGGCCCTGCCGGAGCCCCTTTCCAGGAGAGCAGCCACTGCCTGATCCCTGCTGGCCCAGCAGGCCTGTGTGCCTGCCTCCCGGATGGCAGGGCTGGCTCCCCGCCTGCAGAACAAGGCTGGCCCAGCACCTACAGCCATTTAGGGGGGTTCTCCATCAGTCTTCTAATCTCCGCATTTAATGTTATAAAGCTAGCTTAGACAGGTAAAATATATTCCCTGCTGAGTAAAGGAATAAGACAACCTTATATACACCATGCTCTACTGTGTAATGTTTTGCACCCCCAATTGTTTCACTGCATTAAGCAGTGGAATTGTGTATCTTTCTATTTCTCCAGGCCTGTTTTAAAACAGAACTGGAAAGTGTGTCAAAACATGCTTTCTAATGAAATTTTAAATTCAGTGCTAATAACTTGAGTACAGCAAGACTGCTATAGCTATAGAAAATGAAAGTTTCACATTAACTATGTTAAGATTCTGTAGAAGAGAGTTTGAAACCTGTGAAGATAAGGAGCTACACTGCTGAAACAGGACAGAATTTTTCAGCCTATGAAGGTGCATATGAATTGGGATGAGAGAGTTAGTTGAACCTTCAGGCAGTGCTGTCAATTGCAGCCAGCTATCAAGGAAGAGGGCAGGTAAAGAAGCCAGCAGAAGCTGTTGTCGGAACAGGGAAAGACATCTTTTGAAAACAGCAGCAGAGGTGGTGCAGTAGGAGCACCAGCAAGTGTTGTGTAGCCTTGCAGATAGAAGTTTCTACAATTAGGATAACACCACAGCTACAGACACTGGAGGCAAAAGAGAGCAATGGGTCACAGCAGAAATGATGGCAAGCCAGTAGTGCTTGAGAATGCTATTTTAGTTTTCAAGAAGTTCTGGAGCAAATGCTGAAATTAATGCAACACTATCAAGAAATATCTTAAAAAAGGACACAGCACATTATTTCTAGTGGTTCATTTTCCCGTCTTTTTCTTTTCAGAAACCATCCCTCATGGTAACGGTGGAAATGCTAACAGTCACTACTTCTCCAACCCTAGTTATCATACTCTAACACAGTGTACCACCCCACCACATGTGAACAACATGGACAGGCTGACCCTGGCAAAGGTAAAACTTAAAAATCTAAATGTTTCTGTGCAAATGAGCATCAGATTTCTTTTACTTTCTTCTCTAATGCCTCATCTTGAATTTATTTTTTACTTTCACTGATTATCACCTTGTAGAAATTCAGCAGCCACTTAATGTTTTCGATTTCTGTTATCTATTTTTCTCTGAAATAGTCAAAAAACAACCAGCTGTTTGTGAATCTTAAAAATGTGGAACCTGGAAAGCGAGGCACTGTCATGGACTACACAGGAACGCTGCCTGCAGACTGGAAGCACGGTGGTTACCTCAATGAGCTTGGTAAGAGAGAAGAAAAAAAGCAGGAAAAAGCGGATGTTATTCATGGTGGTTGTGATGGACTGGAAAGCAGAGGTTTATTTTCCAGTATAGAGTTAGTTTTCCAGCGAGGTGGTATCAAAGTGGTTATTCTGTGACACTGTGTCACAGAATGCAATAACTAGTTTGCCAGGCAGTAAGGACTAGGGTTATAGGTTCAACCTTCCTGCAGGGCAGTAGCCTCAAACACAAAATGTGACTGCCTGAGAGGACCAGTGATCCAGCCTGATGCCCAGTGCAGATGCAATATGAAAAAGAAAAGAAAAGAAAAGAAAAGAAAAGAAAAGAAAAGAAAAGAAAAGAAAAGAGAGAAAAGGGAAAGGAAAAGAGATTATTTTGCTTGTTAAGTAGTTTTATAAGATCATGGGTATTTTGCAAGAAGGATCTACTTTAGCAAAATTGGAAAGATTCTTATCAAATCAATGTGAGATTACAAAGCTTTATGGGCTTTTTCCTTTTTTTTTTCTGGTTTTACTGTCTACCATATAGAACTGACGCTTTAAAAAAATAGCTTCTCATCATTAAAAAAATAGCTTCTCATCTGCTTTAGGTATAAGTTTTAAAAACCTCTTTCAAGCCTCTGTTTGCCAAAAGACAGAACACTTTTCTTACAATGAGAAATTTCCCAAAGTTGTGGTAATGAGAGTCAGCTCTGCATTTCCTTAGACTATTTATCCCAGTACTCAGAACTCCTAAGAGATATTGGCTGCTTTTAACCCCTTGCAATAAATCAAACAGGCAGATTCCAGGGGAGTGGATGAATGCCGATGGCGTGCTGGTTTTCTAAAAGAGCATATGGGATGATTTGGGTAGCTCTGACGGGGTGACCATAGCATTGTTCCAGGCAAAAACAGAACAGTTGACCCGGCATCTAATTCATAAAGTTGTATGGGACTGGAATACAATTCATGTCTGTTGTTTAATTGAAAATAGGTGTTCTCAAATAATTTTGTTTTGGGTCACTATGAGTTTTGATGAAAAAAAAAGTTGTATTAAATACTAGATCAACAATAATTTTAAGCTTTTGTAAGGGTTCTAACATAGTATCACAATACATTCACTGCTTTACATTCACTGCTTTTCAGTCACTGCTTATTCTATGCTTATACTGGGGTTTGCACTGAGAGAAATCTGTTAATAACAGACAATTGCAAAGCAGTAGACTTTGGTATAAAGAGTTTTAGGCCATTTCTTTAAGCCAAAGGGCTGAAAAGAAGTGACCCTGAAAAATACAGCAAGAGTAATTAACCTTGGGAGCAAGAATTGCAGTGAATTTGCCATACGCTGAGATTTTCAGGTCGAGATGGAGCTCTTTCTAGTAGATAGTTTATTCAGACAAAAAATATGCTGTAATCAAAAAGCAGTTATTGGGCTCATTCAAGAGTAACTGGGTGAAATGTAATGGCCTGTGACATATGTGAGGTCAAAGTAGATAATTTAATAGTCCCTTACGACCTTAACCACCTTCCTTGCACAGGGAGCTACCAACTGAAAGCATGCAAGCTCAAAGTACCAATAATTTTGTAACCCTATATAGGGTAGCATGGTGCTTAGAGCATCTCTCTGGGTAGAAATGAACGACAAAGCAATTTTTAAAGTGTTCAAAGCTCTTATCTACTCATTTTACATTTTCAATTTTAAAATTGCTCATTTTGATATTTTTCCAGGTGCCTTTGGACTTGATAGAGGATATTTGGGGAAATCTCTGAAAGGTGAGTGCATTTCCTGATGCATATAAGTGAAATTAAACAGTTATTTAGTTTCAATCATATTTCATTTCTGTGTGAAAGAATTTACAATAATTTTGGAGTAAATTGTACTTAGTGAGTCAAAACATAAAGGATTATCTGAGGGGGAAGTTTGCTTTGTTTTGAGTGGAGAGGCTTTTTTCTTGGTGGTGTTTTTTTTTTTTTCCTTTAAAAAAACGTGATTTTCTAAGCCCTTCATTCTCCATATGCAAACCATTCATGTACTACCTGAATCATCAAATAACTGTATTTTGACCAGCTGGGTGGGCATTCAGGCAGCCTCTGATGAGAAGCTTTGGGGCGAGCGATTCCTCTTGCAGCTGACGTGGTGCCTGGGCCACCATGAGCACCCAGAGCTTTGTGGAGCTCACTGTGGGCTTTGGGAAGGTTTACCAAAGCACGAATGTATGGAGAGGAGTGAAAGGCTTGGGAAATTCAGGAAAGCAATGATATTTTTACCTTTCTCATTATATGATTTCTCATGAGACTTCATACTGGGGTGTACCTGTGTGTGTACCTGTTCTTGTTACATAACTTAGGTATGCCAAGGTGATATGCCAAGGTGACTAGAATGTCTAGATATCCAAACAGTGGGAGAAAAAGTGCAGCTAAATCGAAAAGAATAACCAGTTAAATATGTAGCATCTGCTACCTGACATTCCCTGGTTTAGGGGAATTAGGGAAAGCTTAATTTCAAATACCCTAAAGGTGTCAAAAAGTTATAAGCAAACATTTACTGACCAGTTCCTCAACTCGATATTCAGAAGCAGGAACTAGCTGAGAAAGTCCCAGCCATAAAACCGAAATAACATAGTATACTGCAACATAGAATACAAAACAACATAGGATACTCTAAAATCTCTTCCTAGCATGAAAAAGCATTTCTCAAACCACAGTTATCTCTGTTTTTCAGTCAAATCCCAAAATGAGAATATTTTAATAGTGTCCTGCCCCTAGCACTTGCAAAAAAATATTTTGAAGTGCCATCCATTAAGACCTCACTCTGCAAATAACCTGTATTTAATGGAAATTGAAGGTGCTCATACTTTGCAACAAGAATTTGCCTATGGCAAGATCAGGCTCATAAAAGCGCAGAGAGGTAGAGGTGCCTTTGTTAATTGCTGTGTAAGACAATTTTTGAAGTGTTGTGAGTAGTTTTTTTTTAAGTACTCACTTATGAGCGACTTTGTAGAACTCCAAATGACAGGAGGACTGTATAACTGCAGAGTTTTTCAGAAATTAAAATGCATTTTGTTCTGTTCAGTAGTAACGTTCATATTTGCATAGCACATTTGAATGAGTAGTGTGTTTTTCCTCTTTCAGATCTAGTGAAGAACTCAGAATACAATTTAAGTAATTGCTCATTAAGTAGTTCCGAAAACCCGTATGCCACTATAAAAGACCCGCCAGTTCTTTTACCAAAAAATTCTGAATGTGGATATGTTGAAATGAAGTCACCGGCACGCAGGGACTCCCCATATGCTGAAATTGCCAACTCTGCTTCAGCCAATAAAAATGTTTATGAAGTTGGTAAGTACAAACTGCATTTGTAGATTGTGAAGTTTGAGGACAAAGAGTACAAGATCTTTCTTCTGAAGTAGTTTAGTCAAAACACATCGAAAATCACTGAAAAAAATGCTGTTGCTTTCAGACTCTGTCTCCTGCTCAGAGCAGCTCAACCCATTCTTTTGAGATAAAGTGGTGTAATTCACAAGATAGCTTGAAATGCTTTCAGTTCTGTTCTGTAACCAAAGGGCACCTCTAAATTTTCCTGGTTTGAAAGCCTTTCTCTAAACAAGAGCAGAAGATACACTCAGGATAAAAGTGCAATATAATTCATCTCCGGATTAGGCTGTGACATAGGGAATACATCTGAAGTAGGTGTACACAACGGATAGAAGAGCTCTGTTTACTCTCCTTGATCAGAAAATAAAAGAACATCATCATCCGCAAAGGTGATTTTACTGATGTGGATGCTGTGTAGCACTGCATTTTTGAGAAACCTTTGGGATTTCTATTGGATGGTAATGAATCTAATGATCTCTAGACTCAAATAATGTGCCTGTCACATATGTTATGGTGTATCATTTCCTGTTTCTATTCTCAGTGAAGAGATGCCTCTGGAATCCCTGATGATCCCCATTGTGCTGTTGTGGATTTTTTTTGTAAGATCTTGATTAAAAGCCCAAAATTTGGGCAGTGTAGGCAAAATTATGGCCTTTTTAGTTTGTTTGCACACAAGAACAGATGCTACTCTGCTTGGTTCTGTCATTAAATACACTCGAGGCAGTGCCTTGATGCAAGCTCACAGGTGTTATTTGGAATAAAGCCAAGATACTTGAAGATGAACTTTTGTTCCATTTCAGGACTCAACATGGCAAAGAGTCTTAATATTTTTAAGCAGCAGGGAGAGAATATTTTGCAACACAAACTGACCCGAAATGCTCTGCTTCTATTCTGTTTGCCTTTTCTTGTGCTCAGTGCATGTTTTCTCTTTTGCCGCAGAACCTACGGTGAGCGTTGTCCCAGGAGCCTTCGGAAACAGTGGACATTTCGGCCAGGACCCTTACGATCTTCCAAAAAACAGCCACATTCCGTGTCACTATGACTTGCTACCGGTTCGAGATAGCCCTACGTCCTCTACGAAGGAGGTCGGCAGCGAATGACTCCAGCAGCGGGACTCTCGAGGAGGACAGCGGCGTGGTTCATGCCCCTTCCTCTAATGTACCTTCTTATTTGCCTCCTAGTCTGTCCAGTAAAAAATTGCTGTACATTAACCAGGAATCTCAAGATGAGGTTTGTATTGTATAAACAAGTGACAGATGGACAGACGTCACATTGGGGATATTCTGATTAGCTTTTTTTTGTGGCACTTAATTTTATAGAGACAGGTATGCAACACATTTACACTGTAATATGTTGGCTTAAAAATATTAGTTTGTAGATCAGTTCTGGCAATAGAAACTCCCATTTCAGCTACTTTAAATATGGACTCCATGTTTGTATTTTACTTTGTTAGGGTAGAAGTCCCAGGACAGTGCAGTTTACCAAATGCCACTTCATAAAGGGGATATGACTTACTGATATGTAGAAGAAAAACTATTGTCAAACATTACCTTCTATTCTTATCTTTAGCTGAGACATTAAGCAAAAAGATCTGATGGAGCATAGCAAAGCCCAGCACTGCTGCTGTTTGGGAAATCCATCATCAGATTTTTGTCTGTTACTAGTTATGGGGATACCTTTCTTAGATAGATTTGAAGATGCTGAAAGCATCGCATACTTCAGAATTACACGATGCTTCCAGACTGGGTACTCCAGGCTCAGCACCAGTCCTCAGCAAATCATTTGCTACATTTCAACTCATATGTTGCAGTTCTGACCACTACTTCTGCCATACACAACTAACAATCCGTAACATATCAGTAACTACTTCATAAAATATGTAAAATAAATCTGTTTATTTTTGTCAACATGGACTGAGTGTGAAAGACAAAGATGATGAATACTGTAAATCTGAAGTGCAAGGAAAGATTTAAATTTTAGAAACAGGTAGTAGTACAGACTGTAACATAGGGTAAAAGTAGTAAAATGTCTTTTTTTTCTTCCTTAGAAACAACTAAGAAATCTCTGTGCATATTTTTTAAAATTGCACCTTTTATTTTTTTTTATAGTTAATAGGGAAAAAGTATGCTTAAGCTGGTCTTTTGCATTGCTAATAATGTGACACATGTACCCCATTCTTCATTAACTTGTATCTCCATTTTTAAACTGTGCATCTATGTTTCTAGTGATCTAGCTTATAACAGCAAAATATTTTACTATGTGTCTTTTTTTTTTTTTTTTTTTTACCTTTTCTTGTTTGTTTGTTTTCTTATTTTGCCAGCTGGGCTTTATTTTGTCTGGTTAAGGAGCCCTCTGACAAGAGAGGGGGAAGATTTAAGTAAGGCATAATGTAATACTAACGTCTGTCAGAGGTGGTTAGCTAATACGTAATAGCTTATATTAGTGAATTAATTGGGAAAAAAAATGCAAGGTGCTTTTGTTGAGGATAACAACTGAGGAGGAAAAGGAAAGGAAAGAGCAGACTCCCTCTTTAAAGTTTAGCTCATTCTGTTGATGGAGCTGATCCTTCCAAGAGGCTCCTTTATTTCCTATGGAGTCAGTTGAGACCTGTGCAATTCAGAGGAAATGAAATTTGCCGAGGAATTCATCTCTTGACACAAAATTGTGCACCAAAAAATAGCTGCCCCTGAATAATGGCCGTTCTCTTTCAGTGGGAGATTACCTTTAGAAGCTTAAGAAGGATAGTCTAAGCTGTGGCAGCGTGGGTTCCACAGCTGTAAGGACATGATCCTGTCTGCCACCGCACTTGTCACACAACTCCACAGCCTTTTCCACCTTGCCCAGGAGCAACCCTGCTGCTTGCCATAGGAGGTTATCCCAAGGCCTGGTGCATCCCTGACTGATGGGGAAAGGATGTGGGAAATTGCATTGTATGGGATATAGCGGGAAGCATAAAGCCCTGTTAGTCCTTCTCTCAGTGTGCCCTGGGGTTGCATATCAGAACTGGGAGGTACTGTATAATGCAAAGGGCAGGCCATATGTCAACATCTGGTGCACGAGCTCTTCAGCTCAGCACAGGGAGTTCCACAACAGTTCTTTTATCTGAAAGTCTGGATTGCAGTACAGTCTGAGACAAAGGATTATCGCTGTTGTTGTGATGGTATTGATATATTCCTGGGAAGATGAGACCCAGTTCAACCTTTGGCATACTAACTGCAGCACAGAGAATCAACTATGAGAAAACCTTAAAACCCAAACCCTTCTCATTTGAAAAAGGATCACAGGGCTGAAATGGAAATACAGTGTACTTTGCATTCATTTTATGTCATTAAAGTGGTTAGAAATGAGAGTGCTGCATCTGAAGACGTTGTTGTGGGTGTGCTCAAGGCTGAAAACATATGTGGCTGTATGAAGTGCCCCTTAATGTTTTTTGTTCCTGAAGAACATGAGCAGTGGATGCTTTACAATTCCTTGGGCAATCCTTGCACATCCATGGGTAGCTGTTTGATCAGCTTTGGACTTGCAATTACAGAAATTACCTAAGTTTTCAAAAAGCAACCGCCATTTAATCCCTCCTTAAGACAAAGTATGGACTGGGTTTGTGTGCACATAGGTACATGTAGTGCTACTGATATATACATGTGTTTGTACTGTGTGAGATGGACTTTGAAATAAAACCTTTCTTCTCTGATGCCGTGAAGAGAAAATGCTCTACTTCTCTACTTAGCAATTGTGGACTCACCAAAAAAAAAAAAATCTAAAAATCTTGCTCTCCAGAAAAAATTTCCAATAATTTGGAGATGACTAGGTCAAGTATTCTACATAATAAACATTTTTTTGCTTTCTTTTGTTTTAATATGTATACACATCAGTGAAGAGCTGAATAAATGATCTTTAATTTGTTTGAAAATTTCCAGTAGGTCACATCCTCAAGTGATATATTTATGAGAACAAGTAAGTTTCTCATAATTTCGCCTACTACATACATTTGAATAAATACACAACCAAATTCTGCCCTCTATACATGGGTACAACTCCTGCTGTGTAGTCAGCATAAGGAATGTCAGCATATATCAGTGCTGAATTGCAGGACATCTAGGTACAGTAAAAGATGTGTGAATTTACTTTGTGGATGATCACTGATAGATGCTCACAGAAAATAATTCCCTGCCGGGATAGTAGAGTCTTGTTGAATGGTGTCTTTGCTCATTTGAGAGAGGAAGAAAGCACATGGGCCTTGAGTTAGACATTCCTCTATCCTGTGGGGGCCGTAGGGTGGCTTTTTTTGGAATAAACTCCGCTGTCACCTCAGCAGAGACTCACAACTCAGACCTCATGACCATCACGTAGTCCTTTTTGCAAACCCTAGCAGGCTCTTCAAAGAACTAAGGCACTTCCCAACATGCACAGTACTTTCTGGTACCAACTTAATAAATAACCAATGTAGTAATTCAGTAATCATCACCTACACAGAGAATTGTTTTTATCACTGCTATGATTGGAAAGAGACTCCTTATGTCTCTTTATGTTCAATTAACAATAGTGAGGAATACAGCATTTAAAACTGAGATAGCTATCCCCTAACAAAATAACAATTTAGTAAAATGCAAGGAAAAAATCAGCATAAAGTCAATCGCTGACTTTATGTAGGGAGCATAAACCCTGAACTTTTAAATGCTTGAACTTATAAATAACATAGGCATATTAATTCTCATCGCTTAGAAGCATAATGAACCTCAAGGCTCTTTATCAAAGATTTGGTTTTAATCACAAGACACTGCTACACCTAAAATTTGTCCACATCTTTATGTGCCATTAATCTGAATTGTAGATGTGCCTGCAGGCTACAGGAGGGAAGCAGATTTTGTTGTGCTCTTGCTCGAGTTTTCTGCTGAGACAATCTGCAAAGTCAAGTTAATACCGAAGTAACGTTAGAATTTAAAAAAAATCAAAATTGGGGAATGTGTTACTTAAAATGCTTGGATTTTCAAAGGACTGTGACTAAAATTGGATTCTTGATTAGATACGTTTCCAGAAAACAATCCCAACACTGCAGTGGTAAAATCCTGACTGAAGAATACAGAGCTAATTTTGACAAAAATGCTTTATATTAAAGAATGTACGTATATATATAGTAGTTTAAATGATTGAAAGTGAATGGGTGTGTGTTTATTAATTACAGGGAATCTTGCCATGTTTGGTACATTTACACTAGTGCTAGAGCACTGGACCTAACTCTTATATTTTCAGTTTTCTAGCCCACGAAACCTCACTTTGATATGATTGAATTGTAATATATTTTTAAAAGGAAACCTACCAGGTATGTCTGACTTTTTTTTCTTAGTTGTAACAAAGAAGTGTTTTGTTGTTAAAATATTTTTGTTTTCCAAAGATGACTGATGTACATCATCTTGACCTTCACTACCATTTATTTCACTTCACATACTTGTAGGTTAATGTAATAAACTTTCTAATGAAAGATGGAAGATGCTTTTCTTTTTTTTTTTTTTTTCCTCCATTCTCTCAGGATGCATTGGAAATATAAAGAGTGTTTTCTTTGCACAAACACTGTACTAGGAAGTAATGTATGTTACTTTCCTTTTTCTAAAAAGTAAGAACTTTGAGGTAACCTCTGAAAAATTAAAGCTCATTTTGGATTGGCATCTGCTGAGCTTTTGACTACTGTCAGGTCCAGCAGCATTTAGTTCCTTAGTCTGGGAAATTCCTGTCAGAAAATAGTGAAAAAGAATTTTTGAGAGTTCATGGCTGCACTCCTGAGAAAGATGGGGAGCTGAGTTTTCAAAAGCAAGGCATTTCTCTCTTTTTTTTTTTTTTTTTTTTTTTTTTTGTGGGATAACAGCAGCATTGGACTGACCATTAAAAAGCTAGTTTAAAAAAAAAAAAGAAAAGAAAAAAAAAAGTACACACATGGAGGAAAAAGCAGATAATATATAGTCATTTCTGTTCTGTCAGTTTGACACATCTCATACGGACCTGAAGCACTTGCTATAGATAAATGGTGTGGGAAACCATTCTTTACTATTGCAATTTGCTGAGGAGTGAGAGATTTGGCATAAAGTACTAACAAAGTCTGTTACAT